GTTTGGCGTCTCCCGGGCCGCAGCGTTGCCCGCGGGCCCTCCCGCCTCTCTCCCGCCTCTCTCCCGCCGCAGAGGCTCCTCAGTCGCGGCTCCTCCTCAGTGCCCCGCGGCCCAGGGACACGGGTTTGAGCCACCTGTGCGAGGCTGCTCTCGTCGGTGGCGTCTGGGGAAGCCCAGACATTCCGTATCTGAAGCGTGTCTTCAAAATTGAATTCATTTCGGCACTGTGGGTCCTGTCTGGATTAGACCGTGTGTGCCCGACTCACCTGTGTGAGAGGGCGTGGAAAGGCTGATGTGTCTGTGTGTTGTAATATAGGTGACTTAGTTCTCGACAAGAAATCATTGAAGACAGGATAGCACTATATTAAAGATAATCAGGAGTTTGAGCAACCGTTAATAAATTTTAACAGGCTGTTACAAAAGTTCTAGTTTCTGGACGAAGTTTCAGAACTTCTGCCTTGCTATTTAAGGTCTGGTGGATAGCAAGCAGCAAAAAAACCAACTCTGACTGAAGAGCTGCAATGATTGAAACTCTTGTATCTTAGGTATAGTCATCGGTGGGAACTTTCTTAATGTTTCTGCCTAAATTTTTATTTTGGAAATGTCCTTGATTCTTGTAATGCAGCTGTTATTCGGAGAATGTTTTCTTGGTTTATTAATAAGTTTCATCTTTTTATACACAGGAAATTAAATATTCGAGTGAATATTGAACTACTGTCAATTTCTAATCCTGTTCATAAAAAGGTTTGTAAATTAATTATATCTTTGTCATTCATTAGATATTACCTGAATTTCACTGTATAAAAGAATAAGTAGGAAAAGCAAAATGGTATTTTAGTGTTTGCCATTTAACTTTATTTTTTTATATAATTTTTTGAATAACTTAGTTGGTTTGGTATTGTGTTTTTCCACCCCTGCAGCTTGCTGTCCCTACACGCCCCCCCCTCCCAGCCTTTTTTAGCCCTCTGTTTTAGTTTGGCTGTTGATGGGTCTTAGCAGGCTTGCACATTAGAAGTATTTCGAGATGCTCAGGGGAACATGAAAGCTTTAAGAGTACCTGTAGATCAAGGTACTAAATTGGGAGTAAAAAAAAATTCTCAGGGAAAATAGCTTTGAGACCACCACTGGAGATTTTGTAATCTCTTCTATGTCTGATCTGTCACCAAAGTCTTCATCCCCCAGCATAATGTTAAGATTGGTCATGGGTTGATTTTGGTGATGTTGGATAAAGATTTGTTTGTAAAGGAATACAGCAGTATTTGGTCAGATTCTGCTGCTGGTGGCAGTGATAATGGTACTTCTCTCTGAGCAGAAGCAGTTCAGGTAGAAGTGTGTGCTGAGCCTGTGTTAGGAGAGGCCTGGAAATGCTGCTGAGCCTGTCAGCGAGTGAGCAGTCTAAGGAGAGAACTTCCAGTGCTTGATCAGCTAATGGGACATCAGACCAAGCAGGCATTTTAATCCCACCCATCAGTCCACCCCAGCTGGCTTGGGGTAGCATTAATTTTAACTGTCTGTGTGTGTCCAGCTGAGTTCTGTTGGTGTTACTGGCACCTGAATTACTGAAACAAGATTCAGTTGTGTCTATACAGTGCTGTGTCACACCTCATTACCCTGGAACAGCTGACACATTTCTACTTTACTTTTGTACCTCTGCTAGGGGGTATCCTTGCCACAGGGGCGAGCCTTGTTAGAGGGAGCAGCTGCCTGGGCCTAATGTAGCACATAACTCCCTCCTTGGAAATCAAGGCTTAGTGCTTATGGAGAAGGCAGTTTTTCCAAAACACTCTCTAGACCCCCAGTAAACAGAAGAGTATCTATTTAAAAGCTAAGCAGCATAATGCTGCAGTTTGCCATATGGGATTATGGGATTCAGCTGCATCCAATCTGCAGAGTTCTGTATTAAAGTGTGTAAAATCAGCTGGTGGTTTCATAAACTGTAGGAGCAGTGTGCTCTGAAAGCCTTCCAGTTATGGGAGTGAGGTATTAGTAAACCATGATAGTGGGCTGCTAGTGCTACACCTCTTTCATGAGGGGGAAAAAATAGCAAATAGCTTTCTATCTGAAAAATGAAGGATATACACTGAATTTCAAAACTTTGCTGCTCAAAGTTTAAGATTTTGAGTTGGTTTGTTTTTGTAAAAGAGTTTTCCTTGTTTTCCTGCTGTAATATTTGAAGTTGTGTTAAATGGGAATGTTGTACACATTCTGAATAAGTTGGCACAATTCTGTTGTATTTTTGACTTGACAGTAAAAACATTCAATACTGTTTGCAATGCTGGTTTAAATATTTGAAGACTCTTGGGTAGCTTATAGTATTTTAATAATATTTAAATGTACATCTTTTCAGGACTTAGCTGTTCGATTGACTGATGATACTGATCCTTTTTTCCTTTATAACCTTGTCATATCAGAGGAAGATTTTCAGAGGTATGTGAAAATACAGTATTTTCGCTGTGAAACATTTCTAAATGGCGAAAAGAACAAGAGAATGTTTTTAGCTTAGAGTGATCTATGTTAGAGTTCAGGTTTTGACAGTTTTCAGTTGTGGGGTTTTGTCAATATTGTTCTCTGACCAGTGGGTGAAACAGCCAGGTTCAGGAGGGTGACTGGCTCAGGTTACACAGAGGAATGTTGAGATCCCAATGTTAAGTTCCCTTCAGGGAGACAGTGCCACAGTACCACAGTTCATATTATTGCTGGTATCTTCTGTTTATCCTAACTGCTTCTTACAGACTAGTGTGTGTGTGTGTGTGTGTGTGTGTGTGTGTGTGAGAGTGAACTAGTTCAGGAAATAATTACAAGAAGAAAGTCTGTTTGCATGGGCGTGGTTTTACAAACCTGAGCCTGTATCTTAGGGGTTTCCTGTGTGATTGTACTGTTAGGTCTCATTTACTTGCTCAGAATTTGAGCAAATCATCAAATTTGGATTCCAGGCATGAACAGATGAAGAGTTCCTTTTTCTGTTTCCTTTGTTTTTTTATTTATTTTAATTTTTGCTTTGTTTTGTTGTGGTTTTTTTTGTTTGAGGTTTTGGCGGGGGTGGCGGGAGGAGTGGCTTTGGTGTTGTTTTTAAAAAGGGATGCGTGATCAGTGTGTGGATCAAGAGGCAAAAGCAAAGCAGTGTTTGCAAGAGAATGTTTTGTTGCATGGAGGCACTGATTTGTGTGTGCACTGTGGGATGTTTCTGCTGTGTCTGTGGAGAAGGGAGGCAGAGGAATGGACCAGTAGGGGACAGAGGTAATGGCTGAGGCTCCACTCCTTGTCTTGTGTTTGTTCCCTGTGCCATCACTGCTCTGCACTGTCCTGTGAGGGTGATGCCTGCTCAGTTTGTTACACTACAGCAATGGCCATTATTATCCAAGATGTGCTCTAGGATGATCCTGCTCAAGCAGGGAGGTTGGACCAGCTGACCCACTGTGGTTCCTTCCAGCCTGACCACTTTTGTGATTTTGTGATATGTGGACACACTTCTGATTGAAAATAACATGCTAGTAAACTTTAACGACATGATCAGAACTGGTTCTTTCTACTAGTGTAAATAAAATATTTTATAGGAAGTAAACTACAGTTCTCTATATTGTTAATATTTTTTTCCCTGTCTGTTCATATAGTTTGAAATCCCAGCAAGGTCTCTTGGTAGACTTCTCTGCTTTCCCACAGAAATTTATAGATCTGCTTCAGCAATGCATTCAGGAGCAGAACAAAGATATCCCAAGGTAGGTCACAAGTGTATGCCACGTTACTCTGTGTGTACCTGTTGAATTCTTAAAGTGCTTGTCAGCCATTCAGACTGAGAAGAGTCAGAAGAAAAGGATAATCTGACCTGCCCCGACCCAAATATAAATTGGTGGATGTAACTGGCAAAACCTGAGTCTCAGGAGGAGAATCCTTCCTCGAGTAAAAAGTGGACAGCCTTTTATTGCACATATAAAAATACATTTTAATGGGAAATAGCTTAGGATCTACAGGTAGTTTCAGGAAAAAAACTAAACATGCTAAACACTTGATTTTCTTGGTTTTTCCCTAGGTTTTTGCTGCAGTTAGTTTCTTCAGCACCTGCTCTGGATCACACACCTGTCTCTTTAAATGTAGTGGAGACCAACCCTTTCAAACACCTTACCCATCTCTCTCTAAAATTCCTGCCAGGAACTGATGCAGAAATAAAGAAGTTTTTAGCCAACTGTTTGAAATGCCTTAAGGTAAAATGAAAGTTTATCATAACTGCAACTAAGCCTTGATGCTATATGTACTTAAGCATTTTTTTCTTTCTGAATAATTCAGAAGTCTGTACCAAGTTGTTCGCTCTGGTTTATTTTTCCTTTTAGCCCAAATATGTTGTTGCATGCAGCTACTTGGGTGCATGTTGTAAAATCTGAATTGTTACTGTCACCCTGGCAATGAAAATGCTTTCTCTATGTTCAGGCAGGCAGTGCCATTTGAAGTGGCAGGAATGGAGGTGTTTTACACACAGTGCATGGTGGTGTGCAGCTGCTGCTCTTCCCTGCTCACAGCCTGTACTGATGGCCAGAGCAGCTGCAGGACTTAGTGGAACCTCTCAGTCTCTGTTCTGCACTTGGCTGTAGGAAAGCACAGGCTGCTGGTAGTTGTCAGGCTTGGTGGTCTTCAAAAGACTAACAGCTATAAATAGCAAATTAAATGGGCATGTTGATGCAGTTTGGTGGCATGCTAGGTTTGATTTCATGAGAAATTAAAGGCCTCATAGTTCAATTGTTGTCTGTCTCAGTTTCATAGCCTGGGATTTGTCTGTCTTGCTGTGCTGTCACGTTTCTGGGCACCTAATAAGCCATTTTAATAACATAGATTTAAAGTATTTCAGAGATTTAGAGTATTTAGAGTATATTATTTTGATCCCTTATTTAGGTAACTCCTTTGTAAACAAGATACTATTTCCTTGTAGAAATTTGGTAAGAATTTAATTTGGGCTTTTACATTGTGGGCTAATGCCTTTTCTTTTGAATTTGCTAATTATATCTTATTGAGTCTGACACTTATTTAACAAGATGATCTTTTCACAAATACAGTGAGTATATGGTGCTTAGGCAGGCTGTGCTGGTTAAATGGGAGCTAAATGCTACTTGTATTTTGGGAGCCAAGGATTTGACTTGATGTCAATTTGTTCATAGGAGGATAAAACGATGTTGGAAGAAAGGCTTAAAAAAACTGAAGAGGATCTTACCAGACAACTGAGCTACACTCAACAGGTAACATAAATTTTGAACATTTGTGTGTTGTGCTTTTTTAGATTTATGGAAGATGTCCCTTTTTGTAGGCTGGTTGGTTAGCCACTACATAACCAAGATATGACTGAAGAGAATAGTCTACTGTAGCTTTTCTAGAGAGTGAGTAAAGCCTGCAGCTACAGCTGAAGAATTAAATTAAGTTCTTGCAGTATTCAAGCAGAATTTTACTTTATTTTGTGCAGAGGTCTATGTATGCACATACAAATTGAAGACTAAATATATGGTCATGTGAAGATAAATGATAAATATACTTCATATATTCCATGAATTGTTGAAAACCCTTTTTCTAAAACAAATTGTGAAACTATGGTAAATAAACTGGAAGTAATGGATTTTAATTACTCCTTTTTTGATTTTTTTGCAGTCAGCATAGTAAACACTTATGTATTTTAAGAGAATGATTTGGGTCAGATTCTGCAATTATCAAGGTGACTTTTTGGAACGCAATAGAACAAATGCATTAAAACTGTTAAGAATTGGTTTTGGAATGGAATATTTGTTTGCTTCATGTCTGCAACTTCAGTTTGAGTTACTGAAATGTGTTTGCTAAATTGGAATGCAGAATTACAAATCAAAAAGAGGAAAAGATGCTGCTGAAGAACGTTTTTTTTTTTTCCCCCACCTAGTAGAGTGCTTTGTGTGTTACAAAGGTAGGGAGCATCAGCAGGCTGTTTTTCACTCTTAAATAGTGGTTGGAAAAAAATGCAATTGGAAATTAAGATAATTTTATCCATAACATTAGAACAGGGTTCTTTAGCTTCTCAGTGCCTTACTTTTCCTGGTCACAGAATTAACATATTTCAGCATCTGGTGCTGAAATTTAGCAGAAATTTATTTTTAATAAGTCCATGTTCTTATAGTAAGTAACAGTAAAAATCACTTAGTACTGGCTGAAATGCTTACATTTTTGAACTCTGTATACTTTGTCAAACTTAAACAGAGCTTGTCAGAGAAGAGCCGGGAACTGGACAAACTGAAAAATGAATGGACATCCTACACTACAGCTCTGAGCAACAAACACTCGCAGGAGCTGACAAGTGAGAAGGAAAGAGCTCTCCAGGTACAATGGTTGGAAAGAATGAGCAGGATTCTTGTATGGGAATAGTCAGATATATCGAATAACTGCTTCGTTTTGTTGCTTCTCACAGGCACAAACTCAGTACCAACAACAGCATGAACAACAGAAGAAGGAATTGGAAAATTTGCATCAGAAAAGTATTCAGCAGTTGCAGAATCGGCTCTCAGAACTTGAGGTCATCAATAAAGACCTAACAGAGAGGAGATACAAAGGAGACTCCACAGTCAGAGAACTGAAAGCAAAGCTTTCTGGATTAGAAGATGTATGGCTTCCCAATACCCAAAATCAAGCTTATTACTGTCAAAGCATTAACAGTGTCTGCTTGGGCACGTCAGGAAATGCAGCTTATTAAGTTCATTTAGTTTGTCTTTATTCCATATTGTGCTTGCTATTTAAATAGGTCTTTTTAAGTTACTGTTATGGGTTTTCTTGAAGAATAATATAAAATTCAATTCCTTCCCAATATTTAGGAATGTCAAAGAGCAAAGCAGGAGGTGCTATCCCTGCGCCGGGAGAACACAACTCTGGATGCTGAATGTCATGAAAAAGAGAAACTCATTAATCAGCTGCAGACACGAGTTGCTGTCTTGGAGCAAGAGATCAAAGACAAAGATCAGCTCGTCACCAGAACAAAAGAAGTCTTAGATGCAACACAGGAGCAAAAGGTTTCTTACTGAATTTTTTTTAGCCTTCCTAATTGTGGTTTCCATAGAGTAGCTGCTGACTAGTTTTTATGAATATAGCCAGTTGGCTTTCAAATGTAGTTAAGATACTAAATTATGGCATCAAAAGTATGTTGGGTTCAAATTTAATGTTGTGATACTGGAGTAATAATTTTTGGTAATTTTGGTAGAAAAAAAAAATTAATACAGATTCTGTAAAATTTGAGTGAAAAGCACCAGCTGGTTCCTTGTAAGGATAGTTCTCAAAGAATTATGAACAGTCTACTTGAAATCATTAACAATGTGTATCACAGCCTTATTATATTTTGTAACATTCTGTTCAAGGTGATACTGGAAGAGAGTACAGAGGAAAAACAAAGGCATATTGAAAAACTAGAGACAACGATTAAGTCACTGTCAGCTGAACTCCTTAAGGTTTGTTTGAACATGGCACTTCCCTTGTGCAACATCTCCCTTATTCTGTTTGTTTTTGTAATATATAATTTGGGGTTTTTTAACAGGCTAATGAAATTATCAAGAAGTTACAAGGAGATTTGAAAACTCTAATGAGTAAATTAAAATTGAAAAATACAGTAACAATTCAGCAAGAAAAACTATTGGCAGAAAAAGAAGAGAAACTTCAAAAAGAGCAGAGGGAATTGCAGGAGATGGGACAATCCCTTCAAATGAAAGAGCAAGAGGTATTGATGGGTTAACCTTGTGTGCTGGAAATGCTGTTGTATGGCCTTTGTTGGGCTTTGTAGGGTTTAACTTAATTACAGCAATAGGGGTTAAATCTTTCCATGCAATAGAATATACTCTTTTGATTACTTAACGTGTTTATTTAAATGTGTCATCAACTTTCAGGTTTTTTAATGTTAACCTAATTTGTAAAAGCCATCCATTTGTATGGAAGGCAACCAAAATTGTTTCAAGAGAACAAAGCAATGTAATGGATGAATCAGCACCCTTCAGAAGGCACATTCATGTGTAAGTTGGTGAAGGGAGTAAGAACAGGAACAGAGTGAACCTTTTGCTTCCATTCCATTAAACAGGACATTCTCCTGTTTAGAGTCCTTGCACTATTTAATAGTGGAAAAATAAAGGTCAGAAAGGATTCTGGCTGTTACCTTGTCAAAACCCTAGCTGAAAGCAGAGCTTCCTTTAAAAGAATTACCATGTTGCTTTTGTGACAAACTGAGTTCAAACTTCTTCAATTTTAGAGTAACTTAATAAATGCTTTTTTTGTTGTTGTTTGTAGCTGGTAGAACACTAGTAGTAAAACACTCCTGATGGTTTTACAATTATTATGGGAATTACAGGTTTGCAAGCTACAAGAACAGCTAGAAAGTACAATACAAAAACTTGAAGAAAGTAAGCAGTTACTGAAAACCAATGAAAATGGTAGGTTTATACAGTTTGATTTGTCCCTCTGTAAAAATGACCCAGTGATCTCACTACTACTGAAACTGATAGAAGCAGCATTTGGGGTTTTTGTGAAGAGCTGCCACTTATGTCATGTATGGGAAACAAGCCTCTGGCTGTTGTGGGCATGCAACAGCCAAGAGCTGCACAGAGGGAAGCCTTTCCTTGGGGCTGTGGATGGGTGCTCAGAGGCCTGGAGGGGGGCAGGAAGCTTCAACAAATGGCTTTGCATGGGACTAGGGAGGGGAAATACCCAGTGAGCTGCCACTTTTTGTGAGGATGGGCTACTGGCCATTTCAAGCAGCTGGTAAGAGAGCAAATGGACTTGAGCTTTTTCTTCTCTCTGCAGTTATCTCGTGGCTGAACAGACAGCTGAGTGAAGTTCAGATGGCAAAGAAGCTGGACACTCCTGCCAGTGCCCATGCTGGTGGGAGGGCTGCTGTTTCACCTCTTGGCATGGTAAAGTAGAGGTGTAATTAACAGGCTGGTGAGGTGGGCATCAGTTGCTAAAACACAGGGCCTTCAAAGGAAATAAAACCAATGTGCTTTCATCTTCTTCTGGCCTTACAGTTCTGGGTGGGTGTGGTTTGGCATTCTTTGTTTGCTTAATTTTCAACAACATAAAACCCTGATGGGTGCTTCTTGATATGCTGGGCATTGTGGGTGAGAATCTAAGGTCTTGCTTACATAAAATACACAAAGCAATACAGAATTAGCTTGGAGAAGATGAAGTGCATAATGAAGGCAAAAAAAGAAGGCATTTTTGTGTTGAGAGGTTAACTTACTAATTCTCTTTGTAATGGTTATAACCCAAAGTATACTGTTTGAATACTCTTAACTAGTGGTTTTTAGAAACAGGAAAGTCAGGGGCTAAGGAATGCTGCCTGCAGTCATTGTTGAATACCGTAACGTGCTGCTTCTCACCCTGTGTTGTACAGGATAACAGGAATTGATGAGCTGCTGGTTCACAGTGGAAGGGCATGTTCATACCAAGAGGTCTCTGGACTTGTAGCTGGATACTTTAATCAATGACAGTGTGTAGCTTATTACTAGCTAAGTGCTCACCTCGTCTAAGTTTTTTGAAGTTATGTTTTCCTTAAGTGTGCAGGTCTTGGAAAAGTGATGTTTTCTTCCCATCAGGAAGACTCGGATAAGTGTTGGCTTTGTAACGGCAAATAGTTGTTAATTTTGCAGTTTTTAATCTCTACAATTACTTAAAATACTGTATTTTAAACCCAGTAAAATATTGTGTTTCTGTTTCTTTTACAGCCTGACCGACCATCCTTTCACAGCTCAGGAGTCAGTCATGCCATTTCTCCCCTCTACGCCTTCCAGAACTATCTGGAACCGACACAAAGCAAAAATGGGAATTCCCAATGTCCAGTACCAAAGGCAAGCACTTGGACTTTTTTGTTTGATTAAGAATGTGACAGTATAAAATATCAAAGCACCATGTTTTGGCTATTTCTCAAAGTGCATAAATAGTTACTGTATTTACTCTTAGGGTCCCTGCTTTGAGCATTATGCCTATTATTCATAGCTAATGCTTGTCTTCAGGCTGTGTGTTCTCGAAGGCTTTGCTGCACAGCAGGGCTGGTGAGGTGTAGAGACAGGAATCCCTGGGATTTGGCTTTGAATGCCCTTGAGGGAGGGGACTGTCAGATCTGGAGTAACTCTTGACCTGCAGCTCTTTGTCTCTGCAGGTTCAGTTGAACTCACAGCTTTCAAAACTGAGTCGATGTTCCGATGCTCACAGGGTGTCTGCAGCTGGTCACACAGCAAACAAGGAGAAGTGAGTGCCAGCTACTGCAATTTAGTATTTTGATTATTTCATTTAAAAAGCCCTTCGTCATCTTGGTGTGTTTGGAACTGACTAACGGTTCTAGTATGAGCCTGGTTCTGTGATCTGCTATTCTTTGTTACCATGCTAATTCATTTTGTGTTGGTTTGTTGAAACCAAAGGAAGAGCTGTGCTTGCAGGAGTGGGCCCCAAGGAACAACAGTTCAGTATTGCTCCTGCTGACAGATCAAAGGCATCAGGTGCTGGGTCACTGAAAAAATTAGTTTTAGGCTGTACTTAACCTACTCAGGGATGGTTTAACTTTACATGGTAAAGGTCATAGAAATGCAGTAGTTGCACTTCTAGTGAAGGTTTTCCCGAGCAAGTCTGTAGCTGCCCTCTTTCTTATGCACTGAGCTGCATTTGCTTTAAATTTTAATTTGCTTTTCTGTTTCTAGTGGTGATCAGCTGGGGTTGGAATTGAAGTATTTCAAGAAAAAAGATGACAGCATTCCTTTACGAGGGCTTAGTCAAAACACACTTAACTCGGGTAAGTACGAAACAGAACAAGGCCTTATTTGAAATGTACTTGAAGGGCAATGACAGCCATGGTGCAATGCAGTGTCCTGTGCTGTTCTACAGAGTACCTGAGACCGTACGTGCCAGCCAAAGCCCAGGCGTCCCCAAAAGCTGCTGGAACACCAGTCTCAGCCTATTTTCCTGGATCATAGACAGGCTTCTTACAGTAAGAGTCCTCTTTAAACCACTGGGGGGACTTTTGACTGTCCTGCAATGGTCTGTTAGTAAAGCATCAGTGTGAACTGACAGAGTTTTATGAGCCATTTTCTTTGAGGAAGGGATCCTGACTGACTTGGATGATGTTTCATGGTGCTTGAGCCTAAGGAGCCTTAGTAGGAACAACACTGACAACACCAAGGCTGCACACAATTTTCTTAGTCTATTGTTGACCTGTAAATCCTCCTAAAACTCATCAAAATGCTTTGACTGTTTTATACCAGGTGAAATGTACATTCCGTGAGTGAGAACGATTTCCTGAATTTGTTTCTTGACTCCTGTCAGAGAAAGGATGAGGTGAAGGGAAAGCAGAGAACTGCACTCTGCTGTCCATTTTAGTAATGGTCAAGCTCATATGGGGGCATGACTGCCTCACTAACTTTCCCTTACAGTTTAGTTTTAAAAACTTGCTTAATTTTGGAACAAGCTTATTTGAATTGCATATAGACTTACAAATAATTTCATACCAAAATGCTTAATTATTTCACTGAAGGTATAAAATTAAAATTGAAAATTCTTAGGGGAACCAAGACTAATTTTTCTGTTTCTCTCAGTATTACAGTCCACAGGCCACCACGCATAAAACATTAAAAGATGAAGTAGCTGAATAGTTAACTGTTGACAAGTATCAACACCTAAAACTTTATTTTTATAACTCATACTTTATAACTGTAAGACTATACAGAAATTTCAGATACTCTTACATTTATGCAGCTTGTTGTATTGTCTGGGTTCAGATGCTAGGATCATGTAACAACTCCTTCTGTGCCATCTTTACTTGGGGGTTCCCTGCAGGAGGAGCACGCATGGAATCCTGCCAGGAAAAGTACCCTTATAATGACTATTCCTTACTTTTGGTAAAGATATTTCATTCCTTTTACCTTAGTTGCTCAAGTGCACCCACAGGATTGTACATTTCAGTGGTTTGTTTTGCTGTGTGAAATGTGTAAATTTGTTTATAAATTAGTACCATGTTAATGTATAGTACCCGGTTTTGCCATGTGTATGTTTTAATGGAAATATTAAATGGTTTTTATCAAAAGCTCTGCTTAGTTAATGTTTCAGGAGTACAAACCAACATCTCCACTGTAGTGAAATTCCCAGCTGAGGTAAGCAGCAGCACAGCTCTATTTTCATTACCTTTTTCTGCAGTTTTCCGTGTCACTCGTTGTTCCCCGGGTGTGCAGTGCCCCAGGCCAGCCCTGTGCACAGGCCCAGCCCTGCAGAGCTCCTCTCTCCAGCCATCCTTTGGTGCCAGTGCCTGAGGCTGTGTTCATCTCACCCTGCAGAGGAGCTGCAGGAGGCTGGCACAGGAGTGTGGCAGCACCTCCCAGGCCACCTAAATCAAAACCAACCCCAGTGCTGTGGGCCTGGGCAGCCCTGGCCAGGCTGGCTGTGTGCAGCTGGCTCATTCCTTGGAGCCTGCATCTGTGGCTGTCCTGTCCCACGGGATCCCCAGGAACCGAGGAGCAGCTGCAGGCAGCCTGTGCTGCTGGACAGTGGGGACCCTTCCACTGGGCTCAGGGCTGCTCTAGCTAATACATAAAGCTCCATGCTGGATCACTGCTCCAGGTGACTTTTTCTACCTGCTGAAGTATAACACACATGCAAACTACTGAACTTCACTAAAGGTTTGAAGACACATAGACAATTATTTAAAAATTCATTAAAATATTCAACTTTATTAACAGATTATTTACATTTTTTTTTCCTGCTCTTGGTCAACCATGGTGAATGTTCAAAGGTAAAAAAGCATTAAGCAATAACCACAAGATGAAAACATTTTAAACCTATACAATACTTTATACACAAATTTATACAAAGGAACACTTAAATAATACAACTGGACACAAAAATATACACTTTTAGAGAAATTCACATCAGTAATTGTATAAAGCTCTCTTCTGTACTAAGGGTCCTGAAAATTTAGGACTAAAACTTTAGCTCTGTAATGCAAAAGGGTTCTTGTGACAGTCCTCAAAGGCCACTATATAGCACATGGACAGATTCAAGGCTATCAGCTTATAGAGTTCAGTCTGTGTATTCAAGTTTCGAGATCCTTTATGATTATGCAAACATCAGAAATAGAGTGGTTTAATAAACGGTACAGAGGAAAGCAGAGGTTTAGAGCCGGTATTAAAATCTGCAGGCCCAAAACACCCACTTTGTATTTCAACAAGTGTTTGATACGACCGTTTCTTCAAAAATAGAAAGAGTAAATGCACTTACATAAAAATAACTTTTACTGTTCAGCAAGCGTGCCCATGTGATTTTTATATTAGTACAAACTTAAAAAAAACCTGCCATGTGACTTTTAAAAGAAATGATACCAATTCACCTCCCTACTTAAGTACATTTACATTAAGGCTTTGAATCATCTGACCCAAGATTTTACAACATTAAAACAGATGGGTCCACATGGATGCCAGTCTGTCTCATTGAGACGTAGCATGACTAGAATTAAAGCTCACCACCGTAAGGAAACAGAAGGACACATGCTCATGCCTTGACTCTATTGTTTGTCTCTGAACTAGAATGTAAAGTTTAGCAGTAATAGCATTTCATGGCAAGAGACAAGTACGCAACAGTTTGTTTATAAAAGCGAGTAAGTTTTTAGTTCAATGGCAACATCTTTGGAGAAAGTTCCTGTTTCAACTCCTACAGATTTCATGCAGAAAGATACTTCTTAAGATTACCTTAAGAAATTACATTTTGATGGAGTTGGAATGTGTATCCCAAACTGCTGATGAAAGAAGAGTCCAAAGGGTCTTCCTGGATTTTTGTCATACATTTGTATCTTGCAGTAATGGTTCTTTAGCTTCACCAGGAGCTTGTGGGCTGTGGGGATGGCCGTGGCTGCCACAGTGTTTCTTCCAGTTGCTGGATCTTACATTTAGGTTTGTGTGTTCAGGAATAAACAAGGCAACAAGAAGTGCCAACAGCACAGAGCACGCTCCAAATAAGAATGGGGGTCCAGGAATTATGGAATTCTGAAAAAACAACAAAGTGTTATCGAGCCTTTCGACACACATTAGCCTACAATTGCTAATTACCCACTTTCAAGAGCTGGAAGAGCTGTTGCCTGACACACTAATGACTACACTACCAGTTCTGAGAAGGAATGTGGAACAACATTACATCCTAAGACTTAGGACAAGGAAGCACATGATTCTTTTTAATGCTTGCCAATTTCTTTCTGCTGAGTTTCCCCCAAAACTTTATTTAGGAAAAAAAAAAAATAGAAAAAAAAAAAAAAAAAAAGCTTAGTAAAAAGATGACAAAACAAACACATTCACCATTGCTGTCTGTCCACCCTTCCCTCAAGGTATTCTCCCAAGAGTCACAGTTGTCCATGACTGTCAGCTGTAGCTATCTGAGAATTAAACTAAAACAGATCAGTTAAACAACCCTCCCCTAGAGGGACTTAGAAACCCATTTCTATGCCCTCCAATTATAGTCAGTGTAACAAAATGTACCACAGCATCAAACCGGAGAACTGATGAGAACAAGGAGCCCTTCCTAACTTCTTCTGGAAGCAGTAAGTACAAAAGAAACTTACCTGTTGTAAATGGTATTGTGCAACCACACTACCTCCGGACGATGATTCGGGCATGGGCAGTTCATTCAACTCAACATGAAATATATAGAATATAAAACCATAAAGCGCTGGTCCCAAACCATTACACAGTCCTCGAATTCCTGTAATCATCCCTTGAACAACACCTGGCAAAAGTAAAATACATATTCTTATCTATCTATAGTTATATAATTAACTATTTCTAATGTCTTTATTGACTTTAAACTGATGCAAGTAGGAAAGCTGCAAATGGTGTAGCAGTGAACAAAGGGCACAAAGCCTGTCGCTATCATATATTCCAGTGGTTTTTCCATCCGCCTCTAGCAGAGGGCAGTGCCTGCCATGCTGAGCTAGGTCAGAGGCTGGGATATGGACACCATCCCCGCTGTCACTGTCTCACACAGGAGAGAGCACTGTGTGCAACACCGAGGAACAGTTTGCTGAATGTTCTGCTGCTCTAGGGCCTTGCTAAGATTTCCCTCTGCACAGAACTACGCAGAACATGCACAGGGCACCTTCCAAGCAACATGGATTTAACGTGGTGCCCTAGGCTCAGGTATCTGGGCTGCCCTGCCAAGACTCAGCCTGGCTGATGAGCACTAAGCCCAGACTCCAATAGGTCTGCACAGTATTTCTCAACTAGAATGCCAAGAATCAGGAGCAAACCTACCCTGCTGGTCAGCATCGGCGGTTCTTGAGACCAGGGCGCTGACAGCTGGGAAAGTGATGCTGGACATGGCAGCCACAGCACCAGCTGCCCACATCATCCTGCAAAACACACACTGCAGTGACTGCTCTGGAGCTGCAGCTCTGCCCTGGGAGTGCAGGGATGCTGCACTGGCTATCCTGCACTCGCACCCTTCGGAGAAGGGATAAAATGCAGACCAACCCTGCATCAGCCAGACCAAAGTGAAATGTGCGTACCATGGCTCCGACCCAAAGCCGTACCAGGCCAGCTGCAGTATTTGGAACCCCAGGCCCAGCAGGATGGTGTTCTTATTTCCAATGGACCGCATCAGTAAACTCAACACTACTGTCTAACAGAGAGGGCAAAAGTAAAATGTCAGAAAAGTAACATCTTACTCTAAATGTTAAACACAAGTATGCTGGTGAGTTAATGAGTTAAAAAAAAGAAATAAAAAAACCCTGAAAACATTTTATTCTCAATGTCAAATACATGCAGAAATTATTTTAGTGTTCTTCAAAAGCAGTATTTCCCTCTACCAAAAAAAAAGAGGACAGTCATTTAGCAAGTAATATGACCAAACTACTACCCCTTCTTTGATGCACGAAGGATTTAGTTTTCCCTTAATGAACCAAACACTTGTTATCAAATGTTTTTATCTAAGTTAGTGTCTTAACCA